TTCCTTTTTTTTTTTTTTTTTTTTTTGTCTGATGCTGGCTAATGTTAGTCCAGACCCACCCATCCATAATGGTGTGGTTTAAAGTAGACAGACTGCATTTTGAATACTGTTTTATAAGTAATGGTAAAGAAGCCTAGAAGACCCCAAGGCAAATCCAGGGGTAGTCCATGGTATTACTGAAATCTGTCTTTGGTATTTTCTTCCACTGAGCTGTCACTGAAAAATGTAGAATACTAATGATAACTGCAGGTTGTATTTTTTAAATAGTTACTACCAGCATTCTCCTAGCATGAAATACAGATGTTTGTGTGTTGAGATTTGTGCCCAGACTAAAGCCAAAGATGGGTTTTGTGTGCATAGTCAAGGTGATTGAAAGTGTATAATGGCAGCAGGGTGTTATGTCATGGTTGTTGCATAATATAAAAACTGTTAACTACTAGAGAAAAAAATGTACAGTAATTCAAACACAGTCAAAAAAACTTGCTGTACTTGATAGTGGTTATTCTCTTGGACTTAAAAACCAAATTGCATTCTTCTAGTATTCATAGAAAATCTAGAAATACTTGCCAAGCAGACAAACTTCTTCAGTGGTTTCTCCAGAAATGGGTTAGGCATTTATATGTTTGGGATTTAGGGAGGGTTTGTTGGGTGTCTGTATCCCACCAGTGAAAGACTTAAACATCATCTCTTCCATCTGAAGAAGAAAGCAGTCCAGTTGGCCTGTAGTTGTGCTTGAGACCTCCTGTGGGGCAAGTACATGTGCCTGGCTGATTGGAAGCATCGCAAGAAAAGCAGTGCGTGTATTGCCATATCGGAACAGTGTTCCCTGATCTCTTTTTCAGGCCATCGCGTTATATGTACTCTTTTCTCCTGGGCTGGAACTCAGCTCACCTCTGGGCTACTCTTCTGTATTCTGCGTTCTCTTTCCAAGCCATATTCGTAGGTTTGACTTTTTTTCTTGGGCACTTTCCAAGTGTCTGATCAATGGCTAATTAAAGAAGCTTAAAATAGCTCTTGGAAAGCTTGAGTTTCTTGTTTGCATGCACAGACATATGGAATTCAAAGGGATCCATGCAGCTGAAGGCTTGTGGGCCTGGATCTTTATGACAGTTCTGTCCCTGCCTCACCCCAATCTGTGCTTGAGTTGGGCTGTTACACCTTATGGCGGTGTCTTGTCTGTCTCTATCAAAAGTTCTCATCTCTAGTTTCTGGCTAAAAGGTCTTCTTTAAGTAGAAAAAGAATTCTAGTTATTTGCTTGCTGACTTTTGGCTCTTGGTTTGGGTGAACTGGCTGTGACGGTGCCTTCTCAGTAATAGTAGCCATAGTTTTTTGAAATGTCGCTTCTCTGATCCTGAGGGATCTAATCTCTGACAGTTTTTTTTCTACCTGCCGTTTTTTCTTAAAAAAAAAAAAGCCTTTGGTGCAGTTTGCTAATACTTACTTGGAATACTTTCAGAGCTCCTAGTGAGTTAGTAACAGAAGTTACTGCGTACTTGCTGGCATTGCCAACAGCCACGTTGAAGACTTTTCTAAAATGCTTTTGATAAATGTTTATTTTTGTATTACTTGAAATGGGAGCATGAAGTATTTTGAAGTTCTAGAAAGTCAACTTTTTCTACCTGTAACTTCTGTTTTTGTCTTTTCTAACCATGATATTCTGGTTTCTTCTACATGGCAGTGAATTAGAAAAATTTTTTATTAAAAGTTTAGAAATTGTTTGTTTCGCTTAAAAGGATGATATCAGTAGGAAAATGGAACTTCTGACTGAGGTTCTGTTTGTCTATACCTTTACTTACCAGTTTCATTCTTTTGCTTTGTTTTGGTTTGTTTAGGTTTTTGGGGTTTTTTGTTTGTTGGTTTTGTTTTGTTTTAAACTGGAATATGTTCCTAGTACATTCTGCTCTTTCTTCAGTATGGTTGACTAACATCCATTTTTGCTGTTTGTAAAGCAGGGAAGTAGATACAGGTGATGGTGCACTCAGTTCTAAGTGGAGTCAGAAATTGCGTGAATGTTTGTAAGGGCTTGCTCACGTTCTTGCACGTGCAGTAGTGTGAAGTACAATTGTCCTTCAGAATATATATCTTAATTTTTTTTTAATGTCCTTGTTAAATCTCTTGGTGGTCAAACCTGTGACAGTTGATGTGGTTGGGATCATTCCTTGTTCTCCTAGGTCGGATGAGATTGTAATACCCATTGGGTAGTTCAGATTTAGAACAGTATATGTCAGGTTCAGAGGGTTTGCTTGTAAGATTTACTTGTGGTTTTTATTTTGGGGTTTTTGTGTGTGTGTGTGTTTTTTTTTGGTTTTTTTTTTTTTTTAAAAAAAAGAAAACCCTTGGAGGACTTTGACAGATGCAATCCTTTTTGAAACAAATTATTTAGCATCTTAAGCTGCAGTCAGTTCTTGATATAGGAGTAACATCACTTGGCAGTGGATGTGTTTTTCTTTAAGATTCCTTTGACATGTTTCTGACTTTATGCTTCTGGAAGTTCTTTTTTCCCCACTATGTTGGCACAGCCTGTATGTTTAGGATCAGTATAAGCCAAATGCAGGGAATGAATTCCTTGATTTGATTGTCCTCTTAAAAGTGTTGTCTCTCATTTGGGAAAGTGTTAGAGGAATGCAGGTGCCTATGAGGCAGTGAAGAACCTGAAGCTGCTCCCAGTGCTGAGGAATGCTGGCAAAGAGGCAGTGGTGCTGAAGGAGGCCTTCAGCAGTAATTTATGTTGCTCTTGTATCTGTGAAATAGATTTATTCCTTATCTCTGTAGAGCACCTACAGCTCTTCTGAAAAGTGTGTGCTGAGTTAAGACAGCTGTGAAATCTGCTTGGAGAAGATTTTCTAAACAGCTAAAAACAATAAAAGGAGAGATATAATACACCACTGCCACAGACTATCTTGAACAGTTTTTATTTTCTGGGTATTTGCTGTTTGCTGCCATTTTTAAGTACAAATAAGGGTGGGGTTTTTTTCTGTTTTGCTTTTGAATCACTTTGCCCCATCTTTCTTTCACTTGCTTAAAATTATGTTCACTCTGGAGATCAGTTTTATTTCTTTGCTGTATTAGTCCTGTGTTGCCCTACTCTAATCTCTTACGTAGGACACTTTCTCCTTATGCCTCCAGTGATTTAGGAAACTTGCTGCTTGGTGCAGGCATCTTTAATCAGCCTGTCAGATGAGTGAACATGAATAGGAAGTACTTGGACCCACTGCTTCTACTAACCACGGTTCTCTCTTACTGCAGTTACCCATTTTTTGAAGTAAAAGGCCCAATTAAAGAAATGTATGCTTTCTGTAAGGAGTTGGACATAGTGAATACCTGTGCTCAGAAGAAATTGTTGAAAATGTTTCTTTCTGCTATGAACAGGCATGCCTAAAGGGAACTCTCCAGGCAATGCTTTATTCCAGTGGCTTAACGGCATTGCACGCTACCTGTCTGTAGGCACTGTGTATATAAGTTTTTCCCTTTCTGCTCTCCTTCAGGTTAAAGAGAAGCTTAATCCTGGCAAGTAGCCTATCTTCCTGGTTTAGCCATATATTTTCTGAAGATCTCCAAACTCATCTGTAGGAATGGTCCTCCACTGTAGGGGCAACTCTGCTATAAAGCAGCAATATGGGAGTTGCATGTGGAATGGAAATTACTTGACAAATACAAACTTATTTCATTGTGATCCATGAAGTAGAAAGACTAGAAGGAAAAAGATGTTCCAGAAAGTGATCATGTAACAGTTTTAAATTTGGCCCAGTCAGATAATTTCTGTGGGCTCTTTATTGACTTCTGTCCAGTAGAATGTGAGAATGGAGATGTGGAATCACTGTTCTTACAGCTCCCACCTTCTTTCCATCCTGCTCCTCTTTTTCCAGACACAAGACCCCTCACTTTTTCTGTTTCCTGGATTTACTTGGTTTTTACAGATCAACAAAAATGTCTAGATATACTGGAAATAGATAAATACTAGTGTAAATGACTTCTCATATGTGCTTTAAGGGGTAACGTATTTTACCTACAGTAATTGATTAGAAGAAAAAACCATTCTTTTTCTGTATTCTTAAGTGACCATGTGAAAAAGTAGCAGATTTTCTTTTCCCTGCGCAGTGATCAGTTAAGTACTTTCCAAACTAATCGCATGCTAGTGGCATGTCATTTTTTCCCTACCGGTGCTCTTGTACAATACAAGGCCGAAAGACTCTGTGTCATTTGCACCAGAATAAGCATATTCTAGTTTCAAAAACAACAGCAAGACCACTACTGAAGTGCTTCTTCCTTCTTTTAAATTTTTTGTTGTTACTATTTTTTAAATCTTTTGTAATGCTTTGGTACTAGAAGTGTGCTGCTTTCTTCTTTTTAAAAAACAGAAAAACTCTATTCCCTCTCTTAAGAACTTAAGAAAACATTTAAGTTATTTTGGTTTATGTTTGTAGGCTTCTTGCCTTTGTCCTTGCCTTTTGCCAACAGCTCCTGATGTGCGTAAAGCCTGCAGAATGGAGTCATTGTTCCTTGCAGGCTGTGACCATGCAGGCCAAACAGTTGGGAATGGCTTAAGCTGTGTGGATATCCAGGATCAGAGCTGCATTTGCAGATAACTCAGGAGGTAGCTGCTGAGTGGTTAGAAATTCTGAATTATTGATGTTGCATTGTAATTAATTTCAAAGGCTAATCTTAAAGTTAGCTTAATGACAGAGAGAGAAGTTGTATTTAAATTAGCTAGCAGGATTAGACAGGGGGAAAACACTGTTTCTATTCTGAGACTTTTTCTTTCAAATAAACAGGCTGAATAGGAACCAGCTGGAATGTTTGTATGTCTATGGCTACATTTAATGTTCCTTTTAAAGCTGAAGAAAATAGGGTATGGAATAAATTCTTCTTCTTCCCAAAGCTTATCATTAATTCATCACTTCTTTGCAGTCAGGCTGTGATTAAAGCTGCAAACCAGTAAGTAAATGCGTAGGCAGAAACTGGTGTCCAGGCAGAATAGGGGAGTGCTGCTGGTGGTGTTCGTTGATTGTTCCCTAATGTGTTTCAGTCCAAGTAAGATTTGGCAAAAAGCTTTAAACTGTTTAAGCTATTCTCGCTTGTTTTGACTGAAGGCCTCTTCAGTCACAGTAGATCTACTGTGAGGCAGCGACAAGCAGCTCTGTGCAGTAACCTTTTCCACCAGCAGAGCTTGATCTGAAAAGAAAAATGAAAAGCCTAGACTGCAGAATTAAGACTGATGTTAGCAAAACTTGTGCTGAGTTTCTCTTGGGTTGTGGGACTTTTTGCAGACCCTAAACTCTGCAACTTTGACTTCAAAAAAAATTAGTCATGAATGCCAGGAACTGAATTTCTTGGCCCTCTGTCTTCCACTATCTGAAGTCTGAGTGGAGGATGGCTAAAGAACAGAATGAAAGTCATAACCTTAGAAAGTGCACAGTAAAATTTTCTCCAGAGCATTTGTTTAGAACAAATATTCTTTTTGCAGTTTTCTTTTGCATTTTGCAACAGCTGAAACAGCTTCAGAAACCTCAACACCTGAACCTGTGCATTCAAGCGTCTTTTCCAATTTCATAGTGTTTGTAGTTTTATGAACATGTTTGAAGACACACATACCCCACATCCCGACACACATATGAAGGATACTGGTTTTTTTTTTTCCTTCCTCCTATTCCCCTCCCCCCCATCCCTTTCCTGCCTGGAATTGGATATTGTTGCAGTGTTGTTTGTAGCTTGACCAAAGGTGGGATTTATCTTAGTCTTGTGAGCTTGTTTTATATTCTTTCCAGCCTGGCAACTTGAAGGTATTCTGAATGTTTCAGCAGTTGTAAGAGACCACACGCTCCGAGCTGATCTGGTGTTGTCTCCTCCTTTGTGGTGCATAGATAACAAAAACCATTAAAGATGATTTTCTAGTATAAAAGAGGAAGGTGAGGTTTTGGCCCAGCGTACTTCAGTGTTAACTGCCTTAGACACCAGCTGCTGAATAAAAAGAACTTTAGGTATGCGTGTTGCGCAGGTGTGTTTAGCACTGCTATTGAGTTCTAGGAGGAGGTGAGTTGTTTTTACATTGAACTGAGGCTTGGGTCATACATTGCAAAGGATAAACAAAGGTGAGCCTTTTTATTTTCTACAGTTATTTCAGTCACACTGTTGGGTTGGCTACTATACAGCATGCTTTATAGGCATTTAAACACTTCTAAAAAAATGTTTATCTGAGAGATACCAGATGCCTTGGGTTTCATCCAAGGCTTCCATAGAAAACCACAAGCACAGAGAAGAGAAATTGTTTCCGATGTGTTTATTAGCCGATTACAATGCTGCTTCCATGCTCAAACTGGTGTTCCTGGTAACCCTGGTATAGGTAGCAGAGGGTGACTTAATGGATGCTAAGGCTCAATTTGCTCATTTCCATATGACTTGCAGCATGACCTACTTTGCGTTGAGCTCTTTGTTGTTTCAGCAAAATGTGCTTGGGTGTACGAGACTGGGCTTTCATTAAGATGCCGCTCAGCTAGTACTGGGTTTTGTGGTTTGTTTTAAAGCAAGCTTTCATTTCTTTAACTTAGGTTCATTTACTAAAAAATGTTTGTGAAAGAAATATTTTTTTCTTGATCTTTTTCAGATTATCAGAGACTGATGACTGTGGCTGAGACCATCACAGCACTAATGTTTCCATTTCAGTGGCAGCATGTGTATGTTCCTATCCTTCCAGCATCCCTCCTTCATTTTCTAGATGCTCCTGTCCCTTACCTCATGGGCTTGCACTCTAATGGGCTGGATGACAGGTCTAAGCTGGAACTTCCTCAAGAGGTGAGAGGAGCTCATCTTGATTGGTTAAATATCATATGTGACTATAAGGGAAGTAAGAAATGAGCCAAACCAGTAGTGCTAACTGTAACAGCCATTGTGAAGTTCTTGCTGGTTCTGGTTTGGGATAGCTCTTGCTTTATTTTGTGGAGATGCTGGAGAGAATCTGGTGAAATAGATAAATAATTCCCCTGTTTTAGAAATTGCATGCTCTGATAAAATTAAACTGTAATTTTACAGGTATTGATGCAGTGGGGTTACAGAAAGAACATTTTTGTGCTGCAACACTTGGCCCTGTAATGCTAGGAAATGCAAGAAAGTGCAGTGTGAATTCACAACTGTGGCCAAGTGGCCGTACAGTTGCTTCCGCCTGGTGCTGAGTGAGCAAAGCATGGCTGGCTTCAGCACTGTGCTTGGGGCTGGCTCCTGGCTGCGTGGCACTAGGCTGGGTTTCCCTGCCCTCATTTCTGAATTGGGGTTGGCTTACGTGGACCAAGCCTGTCAGGTGTCTGCACCAAAACTGTTTCAAATTTTCTTCTAGAATACATACTTCAGTCTGCAGCAAAATGTCAGCATCTGCTTGAGCAAACTGGTGCTAACTGGGGTAGTGCTCAGGAAGTCCTCCCTTATAGTGAGGTTCATTTAACACCAGCCACTGTATAAAGTAGAAGCAAATGGTGTGTAAAGGTCCTGGAACTCGTACATGGGGCTGGGACTACGTTCAAACTGCTTAAAGGTTGTTTTATTTACTGTATCCCACTGCTCACTTCACAAATACTCCTTTTAGGGACATGCCAAGAGAGAGTTTAAGAGCTGGTTGTGAGGATCAGGGGACCAAGAGTGGTTGAGCACTACCTAAGGTAGCAAAGGAAATGTCCACAGGAGCCCATAACCACCTGTGGGAAGGTATGGTAGGTGGCTGGCGCCTGGCTGGCTCCTGAGGCAGTTCCATCAGTCATCTGAATGTCTTCTCTCATCAAATGCCATTGAATGGTTTATTTGCTCTTCTTACATAGAAAACGCTGAGTGTTATGGTCTGGCTGGCTGTTGTCAAGAAGCTGGACACCCCTATTAGGTAGCCCTGTGGGAAGCAAGTGCTTGCAGAGTTATTGGCTGTGGAACAACACAGCTCTGCCCCCTTGCTAGAGTCTGCCTACTTGTAGGTGTAACTTTTGCAGGCGAGAGACTGGGTAAACCATGGGAAATACCCTACTTACTGGTAGGCTGGTAGGCTTCTCTAATCTCTGACATTTTCTCTGGTTGTCTGTTTTCTTCTATTATCATCTACATTCCTGGGAAAGCAGAAGTGTGACAGGCAGAGGGGTTTGGGGTGGTATGTTTTATTTTCATTAGCAGGCAGCGCTGCAACATAGCTTGACAGAAAAAAAAACTTCTTAAAAAAGCTGCATGAAATTAAAGACAAGATATTTTTGTGAACCTCCAGTCTGGTCACCATGCCAACATTGCTCTTTTTCTCAAATCCATATGTTGATAGTTTTCATTTGTTTTTCCTGGCAAGTTCGAAGGAAAATTTCTCTTCAAATGGTGTTATTTTTTCTATGAAAACTAAAGTATTTAATATCTTGATTTCTTTCTTTTCTCCCTCTTTTTTTTTTTTTTTTTTTTTGCATGGAGTAATAATATGTTCTTGCCATGAAAACAGTCTATTGCTTTGGTTTACTACATTTTTACAAAATTCTTGGTTGTACTGACAGGCCTAATTAATATCGTTGGTATACTTTTTAGAGAGGATAGCTGGTGAGGTAAAATGCGTGTTTATGCACCATGGAGGTTTTCAGTATTATAACAAGCTTCTAAAAGGCTGTCCTCCTTTTGTAAAGAATTTCCTCATTTTAATATCACTGTAACACTTGAACTAAATCATATTTTAATTTTGAATAGATATTTCAATTATTTAAAAGGTAAATGGTTTTGAAGAGCTTTATCAGCTTACCTTGGAGTTTTAAAGTCAGGTAGTTGATCTATTTTTTAGATGTTAGAAATAAAAGTAGTATTAAAAAAATCTGGCACCTCAATTTACATTTTGTTTTGGAGATAGCCTTTTATGAAGGTGGAGGAGTAGATTTTTGATAGTATCTTACAGAGATCAGAATTGTCTGGGAGGGCAGGGAGGGGAGGACACATGGGATTGAGGTATCAGCAGCAATGAGCTCATGTGATGGAATTTGCTGCAGGACTTAAACTTATCCTTCTGAAGCTTCAGCTTTTCTCTTTCTTATTCAATGAGTGAGCTCTTAAAAGCTTTGTACACGATGAGTATGACTTAGTCTGAGAAATCCCCTTGGTAGTCATTGCTGAGTAAAGTTTCTTGTGAACTCTTGAAGTCCTTAGTACTGCAGGCTGGGAATGTAGCTGTGGCATAGAAATGGACTTGAACATGTGCTGGAGACTTCAAAGATGACTAAATTGTTATCCTATACCAACAGATTTGCTTATCCGAGAGGCAAAGTAGACTGGGAAGAACAGGAGCTCACTATTGTTGAGATTTCATTCTAGAGGGTTTACTTTCAAAACAAAACACCAAAAACCAAGCAAACAAAAAACCCCCCTGCTATTGCAACAAGAAGTAAATGTACCATTTTCAAATGTAAAGCAGAATTCACAGTGCATGCTGCTCTCACTAAGTGGAATTATTGGTCCGTATCAGTATTTCTGGTATTAATAATTTAATCAGTTGTCTTTAATGTATTCAGAACTGCAGATTACAGGTTCATCTCAAAACTACTTTGCTTTATGATTAGGCTTTCAGATACCCTTCTCTTAAGGAGCCAAAGCAGCTCTACACTTAATTCCTGACACAGAAACTGACAAGGGATGTGCATAAAACATGGTGGTATAGAACAGTAGAAAAGGGCATTTGGATTTTATTATTTGTACTTCAATAGAGGTGAATTTATCATCAGTAACACTGCTTATCTCTCAAGTTTGGAATGTATATGATCCTTTATGAAATCATCAGGGTTATATGAGGAACTTCATTTCCGAGTCCTGCCCCTAGATATAGATATAGTAAGTATCAGAGTTTCCCTCACTTACCGCACAGGGTATATAAAGAGCTGTTCTATGCTCTGAGTTCTGCAAAAAAAAAAAAAAAGCAGCATGGGTGGGGTTTTTTTTTTTCCCCTCTTTGTCTTGAAACTGTATAAACTGCATCCCTGTTCCTTATCTATTTACAGGGATGCATGAGACAGCTGCTGTTAAAGAAAGCAATATCCAATTTAGACAAGGGGCAAAAGTGAGCTTTGACAGAAAATCTAGTTAATGCTTCTCAGTTGAAGGGTATTGTGGAAGAGCACAATATTGCTATCTAGCATAACATGGATATCTCCGTGTCCCTGTAGACTTCTTGATTGTGATTTCATAATGAAGTTTTAAAATGACTAATTTGTCTTGCTCAAAGTGTTCTAGGATAATACACGTGAAAATCTATCTGTCCTAACTCGGTCAGGTTTGGTTTAAGTCTTGCAGACATATGCCATAAGGCTTACTTTGGTTTGCTTATGGTGGCAGTATTTTGGTCACATCTGGTGTTTTAAGGGAATGCTTTACCATGGGAGCATGGAAACCTAGCTGCATCCTAGAATTTGATGCTTTGTCAGATAATGATTAAAATCTTCAGCAAAATAACTGTGTTAGTACAAAATTCAAGTTTGGACTATCCCTTGGGTACATCAGAAAACAGTGCATGATGGAGAATTCACTGAAGTTCACCAGTGTCTTGAAGACCTGACTCTCTGTGGCCCAGAAAAATCGTAGAAAAGACTTCAGGCTTACTGTAAGGTTGAGTTTCTTGTACATGTCAGTGACACAGTGCACCTAAAGTTAACCTTGTTCTTGTATGTGTTGCCGCTTTGCTGAGGGCTCTTCCTGTGTGCATGAGCGTCCTTGTGGTTTCGCTGATAGCTGCAGCAGAGGCTGGTAAGGAAACCAGAAAAAGGGAGCATGGCAGAAACGGTGCTGCGGAAATCAAAGGGGAAGGGAAGAATATGTAGCTGTTTCAGATGTTGCTGGCAAAAGCGTGGTTTGTTTATCGGTAAAATTGATCAAAAAAAGTGGTTAAACTAGCTTTCTTGCAGATCATAAAGCTGGCAAGTACTAAAGTAAGATTGTTCTTTTGATGTGTCTTTGAATTTCCTTTTAAAGAAACATTTGCAGTGCTATAGTGATATTTTTAACAAGCAAGTTAATCTGGGCCATTTCATGCTACTGGATTTGGATCTGCATCTCACCACTCAGTAATGCAGGACACTGGTGGAAATATAAATTATTTTGAGTGAAAATAAACAATGCTGAGTCTTCCAGCACTGGTTAAATCAAACAAAAGTACTATCTAATTAAAAAAGCTTGTTTTTAATGGAGTGATCCCAAGGGTCTAGGGCAATAGCTTTTTCTTTTAGAAAAGTTGAAATATCTTTAAAAGCTAAAATCCAGTTCTCAGCTTTTACAAGACAGATATATATTCTCGGTATTTTTATTTCAACCATTAAAAAGATGTTATTCAATGCTACATTGTAACAAATTCTGTGGGAGTTTATTTTTGTATGTTGTTTTAGAAGATAAGAAAGATCTCTTGAAAAGCCTTTTTTCCTCTTGATGCCAACACACTTAGAGCGGACTGACCAAGATAATTGTTTTGAAAGATAATCACTGCTTTGTATGTATTAGGCTATCTGCTGGTGTGATAGATCCTTGATAATACTGCAAATTTGTTGACAGACTTCAGTTCTATGTTTTCTTGTACTTCAGTGTTTAAACAGCCACTTGAGGAGTTAAATTCATGTTTCTGAAAGTTGCAGCTGTAAGGTGTTCTCAGTCACAAATTCTGGGTTTGCATGAAGGACAGTAGTGCTGAGAATAAATACAGAATGTCACAGATCACTTGTAGGAATGGCACAGGAGCATCCTTTAGAGTCTAGGACCACCGTAAGCACGTTTTCCACAGGCCAGCTGTGTGTGTATAAATTGGCATATCCATGTTTTCTGTGTGTTCAGTGTGTGGTTATTGGCAAGGTTGGGGCCTAATGCACAAACGTGATACATGCTGTAGAAATACTGTAGATGAGGTTTTTTTAATTTTTCAATGCTGTACTCAAGCAGAATCCTTAACTCAGAACCATGTTTCAATCTGACTGTCTAGAAGGGGATGTGAAAACCTGTATGTAACATATAGTTTGAGCACCTGTGCTGCATAGCGAGTTCAAGTAGCAGTGATTGTGTTGTCAGAACTGACTGTTCAATATTGTTGTAGGCATCTATTTGCATACCATGTAATTATGTATTAATGTTTAAAATAAAGCATATTTTCTCTTTAGGTTATCAATAGGGTGGGGAACTTACTCCATTATTAGTGAATATTAGTTCCTCCTTAGACATCCTTTTGGCAGGACCTAGATCATTTCCTTCTGTATTTTTGAACAGAGCTGAAAGGAAGGATATGGGCTTGATGCAGGGATTGCTGGATATGTGTGTGGGTTTGGCCCTTATTGTACTTGAGGTCAAACTAAAGAATTGCAATTGTCCTCTGGCTTTGGAATTGATGGGTGTAGTCCATACCCCACGGAGCCAATGGAAAGTTGTGCCGTTGACCTCAGGGGACCAGGCTTTGGCATCAGCTACACAAAGATTGACTTGCTTGCTTCCATGTTTCTAAGGTTTATAAGACTTTCACCTAGACAGCCTGTTATTTGTGATGATAAAAGTTTATGGGAAAGACAGATTTTTAAATTAGGATGTGACAATCTTTTTCCTTAGTGTAGCGTCTCAGGAGAATAATTTTATTGTGTGATGATGTGTCCTCTCTTGTAACAAACTGCTATTAAAGTGGCATGTAACTATTTGAGGTTTTCTTTTGGTCAGAAAACCAATACCTCAGCAACAAATAAAAGAATATTTGTTTGTTCTAGAGACCTGAAATACTAAGTGACAAACTTAGGGATGGTCTTTCAATTCTATCTCTACTTATACATGTTGCTAACTATCTTTTCTTTGTATCATTTTAAGTTTGTATGTGTAAAATGATGATCAGTGTATCCATAGAGGCTTACATACAGAGTTGTCAGCTATTCACAGCTCACTCAACTCTGCTGCCTCCAAAACCAAAATAACTAAAACTATGTGATCAAAGAACTCCCTTATTTTTCTACTTCGTGTGCTTGCCCAGTTCCTAGCATGCAAAATGCTTTGGATGGCTGTGATTTCATAAAAAGTAAGTGCCATTTCATTTCTCTCGCTTTTTAAAATAAATTGAAGGTGAGAACCCCTCTATCCGTACTGGTATTCCTTTCTGTTGGATCTGTAGTGTAGTGGCATTGTGAGACTTGCTGTTTTGGTGTCTGGTACTAGAGGTTTATTTACTTGGGACTTAATTTTTTGCAGAAAAATGTTGGTTTGGTACCTCTTGACGGGCTTGTGAAGTGAGGTATCTTTGCCATTTCTGTTCCCTGAGGAACGTGGCCTTTTCAGAAGTGCTTGTGCAGTTCTTGAGGATGACCTCAGTGTGCCTAAGTTAAGAGAGGTTAAAGCCACGTACTGAATCTCCTTTGCTTATGCTGCTCTAGGTAGTCCTCTAACTTACGGGTTATTAACCCACCAATTGAATAAGTGTAGAGTGTTCCCCAAAATACTTCTTACACTGTTTACAGTATTGCTGCACACTAACAATTTTTTAATGTTTCTATACAGGGAAAATTCTGAGAAATGTAATAGTAAGTTGCATGATAAGCTATCATCATTAGTGGCTTAGAGTGTTTAAACTATGTGCATTGCTCTTAAAGAGAAATTCTCTGGAAGGGATATTTAACTGTTGGAAGAATTAGCTAGATGAGCCTAGATATTTATAAGCAATTTTAGCAAGCATTAAATTTAGCTGCTTCTTCATTGGCAGGGTGTTTATTTTCAGTGTGAAGACTAGAATCTCTACATGGGTAAGGTTAAAGTTTCGTTACTTTTTGGCCAAGGACTTTTAGGTACAGCTAAGCTTAACCAATAGTGATGTTTTCTGCAGAATCTGTGCTCAGGTAAGATAATCCAAAAAAGAAGGGAAGCTTAATGGCATCAATTAAAGGGAGTTTATATGGAAGAAATGCAATTAAACTGCTTGAAGAGTTTCGTAATGAGTATATCTTGACATTTCTCAGACAGCTTGTGACAAATTAAATGTTTTTTGTTATTCCCTCAACACCAACTTGCAGGCATTGTGCCTAGGTTCAAGGCTTTATTTCTCTCATGTCTTGAAGTGCTCACAGTGTTCCTGATAAATATTAGCTGACTTGACTTCTAATCATCACAGAAGCATGGGTGTAGTGGGGGGGCTTGGAGTTCCTAAATTCACGTGCTTACTTGAAACATGAGCATTTTCGTGTGCATACTGTCCCCTTGTGCTGAACATTTCTTTGAACAAGAAGCAGATGTGCTCTGCATGCATCCCCAGCCTACCCACTGGAGCTGCCTTGCTAGGTGGGTGCACGCAATGCTTGCTGTGTTTGAGCAATGTTGAAACTGGGGAAATCTAAACAATGACACCTGCCCTATTTAAAAAATAAAAACTTTTTCAGAGTCAAGGTCTTAGTTCTATTTATTGACCTTTGATTCTTCCTAATTCAATTTGTGATTCAATTTACAGTAAAGGCTCTATACAAGATTTACTAAACTGTTTTATATGCATTCCTTTGAGCATAAGAGGTAAATACCAGTATTAAATGCTAAAACGTCAGGAAATATAGAATTGGAATTCTTCTACTTACCTTTGTAACTCTGGGTAATATTGTAGCAGAGCATAAGCTGGGCTTTTTCGTGCAAAGTTCTGTGCAAATCTAGTGTAATATGTCCAGTGGAGCTCTGCTTTAAGAATTACAATGTTTTTTAAATTTTAATGTTGAATTTCAAGAAATCAAGGTCAACAGATAATTCATGTTTTAAGGAGAATCGACATCCTAACTCTGTTCTGCAGAAACACCAAGAGAGCTAAATCTGTCACAAGTATTAAATGTATGTTTTCACACCAGTTTACATAAATGAAGGGGTCTCATGAGGCACCAGCTTATCCTAGTCTACCTATGATCAGTCCCACTGCAAAATCCTACCAGAACTTTGTCCTTACTCACGCTTCACTGCTTGTGTGCATTGCTCTGGTTTCTGGGATCATCCATCACTCATACAGTGTGAGGTTAATCTCTTCCAATTCTTTCTTTCCTACTAAATTGTGAGAGTGCTTCCATCCTGCACTTACTGAATCCTAAGAAATAACTGGAGGTCTGTTAGCTCTCTCATGACTTGATGTGTATTTTTGCTGCATTGCTATAGTGAAACCTGAGTTCAGATGTGTCTCTTAGAATAATGTGATGCAGCTAGGTTGGAAGTACCCCATAATCTGGGTGAAGGGATTTTTTTATAGGGAAGGCTAAGTGACAGTCCATGTTAATTCTGCAGTGGAAAAAAACCCTAAATGCTTCTACAGGAAAGCAACGTTTCTTTTTACTAAACTTTCTAAGCAGATTTCACACATGAATGGGGTTCTTGCTGTGAAGTATGTAATTATGTAATGTTAGGAAACCATTTGTTACAGATTTTGCAACGCAGAAGCCAAAAGGGGAAACCCCCCCTCACCAAAGGTAGGGTGAGGTAAATCCTTGAAAGATGTGTAGCCTCTTTTGATGTTGCTGTGGAAGCCACGTAGGTGGTTTTTCTTTCTTTTTTTTTTTTTTTTCTTTCTTGTCTCTTTCGATAGTAAATGAGAGCGTTTGGAACAGAAAAACAGAATTGAAACTAGTTAAATTCATTTTTCCCCTTGAAAACAAACTTCTAAACTCTTTCAAGGAATTACCTTAGTTCTGAAGTTGCTTACAAAAACAGAAGATAACTTTATTGCAGCTTCTGCAATATCAGTATACCTTTTAGAATGGAATTCGCCAAATCTTTTAGAGGAGCAATAGGCAGTCACCTGCTTACGTATGCATGTGTGTAAAATAGTGTTGCAAATATTGTGTGGTTAAAATGTAGCTGGTATGTGTATGAAAAGAATCGCACATCTGTACCTAATATATGCGTCAATCTCTTTTGTACCTAGTAAACAACTTTAGAATCTTCTTTCTTAGTTACCTTCTTGAAAGACCTGGAAATGTAGGCCTTGTGCTGCTTTCTTCAAAGCCAACCAACCAGTTAAGTTGTGGTCAGGGCAAGTCTGTCTTACAAAATCACCAAACATGCAAATGTATTTGGATGTTTTAATATGAGGAAACCCTAAAGGTGAATAAAATGTGACCCTTGTGCTTAGTGATATTGTAATGGTATCCTGTTCTAAATTAAATCCCAGGCTAACCTGTGCTTTGTGGATGTAGACAACCATTTCATCGAGCTGCCAGAAGACTTACCCCAGTTCCCAAATAAACTTGAGTTCATTCAGGAAATTTCGGAGATACTAATGGCTTTTGGAATTCCACCTGAGGGAAACCTTCACTGCAGTGAAAGTGCCTCCAAGATGAAGAGCCTCAGAGCATGTGACCTGGTTTCTGATAAAAGAAATGGGAACATAGCAGGATCGCCTTTGAATTCCTATGAGCTGCTAAAGGAAAACGAGACTATTGCAAGACTCCAAGCGCTTGTTAAAAGAACAGGTGTGAGTCTAGAAAAGGTAAGCTATGAAGTTATCTGCACTCTCTCTTGACCTGCAGTAGCAGGTGGTCTGAACTCATGGTCCAAAGACTCTGTTTGTCTGTCTTCACTAGAAAGAACTTTATGCTAATATGTTCACAAAACTTGTGAACATCTGTAGAGACAAGGGCAAGCCTGGGGGAGAGGGGGGGGTGGGATTTAACCCCACAACGTCTAATGAAAACTGTTGGCTATCCCCCAAGTGCTTCTTTGCCAAGGTAATGTGTTTAAAAATACACCATGCCTTGTTTATTCTTGGTTTTAAGATGTATTCTAAATTTACACCACTTTGATTGACATGGCTAAAACTGACATCCAGATAACCTTGAAGTTGAAATCCGATCTTGATTTCTGTAGGTACCTTTCTTTTTCATTGTATGTAGAATACGTATAATTTTGCTGGTATATCATATGCTTGCTACTGTGATGCTTTTTTCTGGTTGATCTTGTAAAGTGCATTAGTGTCTCATTCCCAGCAAGTGAATGTACATAGCTTGTGATGACCCTGGTTGGATTTTTCTGAGCAATCAGAATTGGCAAAAAAAAGCTGTTGTCCTTTTTGAAGAAAAGGTATTACCTGAAAGACTACTGTGGGTTTTTTGAGCCTTTGTGGAATGGAATGAAGATTTTCTCAGCAAAGTTTTTATTTCTTGCATGTTTAAATTATCTTGACCAGTTCTTCGTTGCAGAGTGATTTCTACCCGTGTGACTGTAACTTGGGCTACAGGTGGGACCAAACAGAGACAGAAATTGTGCGACCTGCAATAGGTTGGGGAGGAAAGCCACTTTGTGGGGAGGGACCTGGAGGGTGTTAAGAGAAGCCGCATTTGGTTACCAGGTGGGATTAGATGCTCAAATCAACTGTGTTCCTCTTCTCAGGTTTTTCTTTTGCATTGTTTTCTTTTCATCCAGGGGAAAATTGGTAAGAAACGTTTGTTCTTTTGCTGAATAGATTGGGAAGTGATGGGAGAAGCACAGGTCTTACTAAATTTCGTACAAGCTTTTGCATGTTTAGGTCTTATCTACTCTGTGCTCTCTTCCATAGTAGTTTAAGTCCCATTTTACTATCCTTTTTTGTGATGATAGAAGTGTGTAGGTTATAACTGTCAAAATTTCCTCAAATACTTAAATAATTTAAAAAATCTGCTTAATACCAAATACCCAATTAATTGAGAATTTATAGATGCCCAGTGCTACTTATGGGATGCAGTTAGAAGAAATGGCTGAGTATCAGAGCTCTCTCTGCTAGAGAGCATGGCTGTAGGATGCTATTTATGGCTGGCCTTGGACTGCTGTAACTGAGGTGCTTTAAGAAGCATGGGACAACTGCAGCAACTGCATCATTGTGCAGATGTTGTAAGCACTAGATATTATGTCTAATTATGTGTGGCAGGGCCTCATAATAATTAACAAAGGCAGGGGTAGCACATGTGTATTCAAAATAGCTCATGAATGCTTGTGGCTTGGATTTTTTTTTCCTAGATAGTCAATTCCTATCAAAACTAATATGAATTGAATATCTGAATCTCATATTGCTGTTTTCATAAATCTTAGCCCCCGTGTTAACTAAAAATGCTTTTTATTTCATTAAAGATTACTCTGGGCTGTATAGTGATCAATTGTGCATTACGTTAAGGACTTAGGTTAAAGGAAGGTGCTACTAGACATGCACAGCTTCTTTTTAATTGTGCGTTTCTGTCTTCATTTGAAAGCTGGTATGTATTGAACTGTAACAGTACTAAACCTGGACTTGTGTTACATCAGACAGAAATATGTATCTGCCTAATATGCAGGCTAGTAAAAACCTTAAAAAGCCTATGCAGGTGATTAAGTGGTAAAAGAAAGTAAATCAAGTATATGGCATATGTGGGTATATGTATGGTTGTTATCTATCCTTTTTTGATGTAATGTGCATCCAGTGTGTCCTGGTTTCGGCTGGGATAGAGTTAATTTTCTTCATAGTAGCTAGCACAGTGCTGTGTTTTGGATTTAGTACCAGAAGAATGTTGATAACACACTGATGTTTTCAGCTGTTGTCAAGTAGTGCTCAGACTACTCAAGGACTTTTTGAGCTTTTCCTGCTCGTCCAGATGCATAACAAGCTGGGAGTACAGCACAGCTAGCACAGCTAACCCAAACTGATCAAAGAGCTATTCCATACCATATAACGTCATGCTCAGGGGGGGTTAGTCGGTCGGTCGGTTGTGGGGAGACTGCTCGCGGCTCGGGGACTGATTGCGGCTCGGGACGGGCTGGGCATCGGTCAGTGGGTGGTGAGCAATTGCATTGTGCATCACTTGTTTTGTATATTCTGTATATTCTGTTATCATTCTCATTATTACTATTATTATTATTTTCTCTTATTAAACTGTCTTTATCTCAGCCCTCGGCTCTAACCTTTTATTTTCTTTCCAATTCTCTCCCCCATCCCACTGAGGGGGGGGGGAGTGAGCAAGCGGCTGCGTGGTGCTGAGTTGCCAGCCGGGTTAAACCACAACACAGTGCAACTAGTACTAAAGTAGGTTATGGTTTATTAAAATTGGAACTTTTATAGACAAAGGTTTCTTTCTAGATTTTTTTGATGTTGCTGTTTTATTACAGTCCTTGAAACTGTAATTATTTTTTTTTAATTGGAAGGTTGACTTGAGGAGTAGCAGCTGAATGGCAGATTAAGATCTTGTATACCCAGAACACCTGACAAAGCAACAATATGGATTTTTTTTTTTGTTCCCTTATTTTTCAGTTGGGGGTGCGAGAGGAGACCAGTAGCAAAAAGGATCTTAAAATTCAGTGTGATGAAGAAGAATTCAAGATTTACCAGCTGAACATTCAAATCCGTGAAGTTTTTGCCAACCGCTTTACACAAATGTTTGCAGATTATGAAGTATTTGTCATTCAACCCAGTCAGGACAAGGAATCTTGGTTTACAAACAGGGAACAGATGCAAAACTTTGATAAAGTAAGTTGTAATAAGAAGATATGTTAACGTGAAAAGTAAAACAGTATTCAAATCTGAGACTTTATTTATTGGGCCATAAAATGGAAAACAGTACTGTCAAAATTGTAATTTCTTCCTTAAATTTCAGTGTTCTCCCGAAAAGTCACATCTTGTATATTATGTGGGAAAATATATACATACACGCGCTTAGGTAAAGATACTCTTTTAAGGATACTGTAGAAAAATAGCTTAAAAGTCTCACTTTATGGCTAACCTCTACATTAAGTACATTAAGGTTAAATTTTACTAGTGAAAAGGATTGATTTTTTTCTTTTCTTTTTTTTTTTTTTTTTAAACCAGAGGAATTGCTGAATATGTTGATGGCTAAAGCCATGACCCCACACAGCACTTATGTACATGTGTACCAAATGTATCCCTAGCTCTTTTCTAGGGAAACAGAAGACCCAATTCTTCAAATTTTACTACTGTCTTCTTTACTGCAGATCAGATATTTGTCAGCAGGGTAGTTCACGTGGGTGAAGATTAAGTTGCAGCACTGTCTGTTAAAATGTTAATCTGATTCCCATCAAATAGTGTGAAAAGATTCTCATCAACTTCATAAAATTTGAACCCAGCCAGAATTACATAATACCCACACCTGCGGTACCATTGTTGCGGTTTGCTGGGATTCTGTTGAAATTTTTATAAAATTAAGGAAATGCTAAAATCGCAGTTTAATGATTATTGTGGTATATAGTAGGTGATTGTCATGAAACTGAAGATTTCGTATAGACTGCCTGCTTCAGAGATAGAATTGTGGTGTATGTAATAACACTAGGCTTTAAGTGGCACCAAAGCATTCTAATACATCCGTGACTGAAAAGATCGGTGCTTTTGGTAGATATATCTCTGTCTGCAGACTTCCAAACACTCTTATCTCTTCTTGTCTGTTAGGCATCTTTCTTGTCGGACCAGCCTGAACCTTACTTGCCTTTCCTCTCGAGATTCCTGGAGACCCAAATGTTTGCATCTTTTATTGACAATAAGATTATGTGCCATGATGATGATGATAAAGACCCTGTTTTGAGAGTATTTGATTCTAGAGTGGATAAAATTAGGCTGCTAAATGTTAGGACACCAACTCTGCGCACATCTATGTATCAAAAGTGCACGACCACTGATGAGGCTGGTAAGAGTAATAAGCCACTTCCCTGACACTTAAGAAAATACAACTAGTCAGTGCTGTTTGTTGTAGACATTTGGTTAAAGTTAAGTAATGAGTAATGCTTTGAAACCTCCAAAAAAAAGACCAAAAAAGGTGAGGTGTAAAGCTTAAGTGGGGAACAAAATGTTAGGTAGGAAGTGGAGATGTGAGGTGACTTTCATGTAAAGTTTAATTCAGCTCAGCTGTTTTCCTGCATGCTCTGTGTGAAAAATACTTGGGTGTAAGGTAAACTTGGTGTCAGTTCTTTGATATTTAATAAACTGTAGTACTAGTGTACCTGTTGGGGTCAGTAACAAGCTTCCACCTCTTCACTTATATTTGAGATCTGCTTTTAGTTGAGGATGTGTGATTATAGAAACAAGTCTGATTAAGAAATCTTCAAAAAATTATCTTTCTTATTATTTCAGAGAAATCTATTGAATTAAGGCTAGCAAAAATAGATCACACTGCAGTCCACCCACACTTGCTGGACATGAAAATTGGACAAGGGAAATATGAGCTTGGATTTTTTCCTAAGCTTCAGTCTGATGTTTTATCCACTGGACCAGCAAGCAACAAGTGAGTAAGCTAGGACAACAGGTGCTGGATCTTGGTGAGCTCTATAGAATGGTACTAAAGCAGAGATACTAGAAAGCAAATTGAGTATTTGAATCAGGTGGTGTGGGTGGGTTGTGTGTGAAGAGGTTTTTTTCAGTTTGCTTATTTGGTTTTTTTTTTTTCCTTTTTTAAATCCGGACTTCCAGAAGCCAGTTGGCTTAATAAAGCCCTATTATGTTTGAGGTTATAGTTCATGTACTTTGAGTTACTCGTAATTACTGTTGATATAAAAGTAGATCTCCTTATTGGATCTCAGTTTAGAGCTAGCAAATATTTTAGGATATCTTCTTGTAAAAACTTTGAAGGAATAAGAAAAAGGTGTGGATTGTAATTGAATATTGTAAAAGAATGGAAGAATACAAAGCAGGTGTAGGTGATCTAATTTTCTGAAATCCTTTGGTTACCCAATGTTGGATTCTTCTACAGAGGTTTTGTGTGTATTTGCAGCTGCACTTTGTCTGATGTAATTGATGTTGACGTGTTCAATATACAACCAAGATAGAAACTTATTTCTCCCATTGCTGCTCCCTTTCGCCTAACTCTTGACATTTGCTTATATAATATTCCTCTGTCTGTAGGTGGACAAAGAGAAATGCTCCTGCACAGTGGAGGCGGAAGGACAGACAGAAGCAACACACAGAGCACCTGCGTCTTGACAATGATCAGAGAGAGGTGAAAACTGTTCAACTATAGAGATCTGATTTTCCCCCCGCCACCAATTGCCTGAATAATACTCTGTAACCTTTATGAAATGTCTCGACAGTTACTTGGCAGTCTCTGCTCTCCCTTATTTGTATTTAATACAAATGAAGTTCCCTGTCCTTAGCAGACTAGAAATACTTAGTTTGATTATTCTAAAAGTTATGCCATTTTTAGCCTCTCTCAGGACAAAATTATCTCATCCCACATATAGGAGAGTTCCCTGAATATGTCATCACATGCTTTAAAGTTTAAAAAAAAAAGGAGGGGGGGGGGAGGGCAAGGGAGGAATTAATTGTAACAGTTTTAGCCATCTATTTCCTGTCTCTAATTAACTTAGTCACCCTATGCTGCTTCTGTATATTTGATGGAGGAAAGATAACCACCTCCAGAGAGTGATTAATTTAATCCTAAAATCAGAAGCATTGCCTTTTGGAGTTGCCTGTTTTTCTTCTGTAGATGATAAAAGGAGTCTTAAGGCACCAAACTGACAGGAAACCTCATGCTAAGGTGGGAATGTGAACCCCACCCATACTGTCAGGTTTACGTCTGCCTGTTTTTACACAGCGCAGTCTGATGCTGACTTACCCACCTTCTGAACTGAAAACTCTCATCAGTGCTTCTACAGCTGACACAATTATTCTTTGTGGTGAAGGGATTTTGAAAGATCTGGGTGATGTGAACTAATTACAGTACAGCTTCTGGTTCATATGATACAGACTTCAAACTGTTACACCAGGTGTTGATTTATGGGTCATTCCAAGAAAAATATGGTTTAAAATACCAGAATTCATTTTTTTTTTGTTTAATAACCTCAGAGCTTTACTTTTGTTTAAATGTATGTTGTTCATTGAAGACAATATTCTCTTGCCTGGTTAAATATCTTCAGAAAAGCGTCTTTTGGAATTTTAAAGTACTCTTGTGTCTGTTAGGATAGTGTTGTCAAAATCAAATATCTTTGTCTGTCCAGTTCATTCTTTTACGGTAGTGATGAGTTTAACTGCCTTTCCAGTGTACACACTTGCAGAATTTTCTCATTGGTTTGTTAAAATTTTATTGAAGTACAGTGTCATCTATGTTATCCGTAACCATGTAATAGAAGAATGTCTGCATAATAAAAAAAGCTACGAGTAGTTTCTGGTTTTGACATGTTCAATATGCTCAGATAACCCAGAAGTACTTTTTACATCGAAGTAACAGAAGTGAAGAATAGTTGATTTGTAACCTCATTGTTGCTTTTAGTAATTCTGATGTTTAGCACTTGTAAACTGCCATTTCTATTAGGTAATTACAAAGGCAAAAATCTACCTCTAGTCTAGGGTTTTTTGTTTGTTTTGTTTTTTAACTGACTCTTCACACGTTGATTATCCGATAGGAGCTATTTTGTCACATGAGGCAAATAATTTCTGAGGAATAAAGTTACAAATGCATACTCGGGTGAGGGTACCAACTGCCAGGTTAATCTGTGCTGGTGTTTTAGGGTTTTATGCTGTACCTTGTTGATTACGTGAGACTGGCTGGACGTTGACCCCCTCTCCCAGGTGAACCAGAGACTTTCCTATTCAGTCTGAAAAAATGGGGAGGGAGCCTTTCTGAGATGAACACTGGGGATCAGGCTAAGCAGGAGGCAGTGGTTTCAAAGTGCAGTGTTGTGAGTTTTAGACAAAGTGAAGCTTTGGGGCAGCCAACAAAAATCTGTGTGGACTTGAGACTTAGCGGCTTTTAACTTGCAAATACTTGTGCACAGTGGAGGGCAGAGTTTACAACAATCCAACAACTGAATGCCATCTTCTCTTTTTTCCTTTCAGCTTCATTACTTAAGAATTTATTTTTATGTTGAATGCTTGGGAGCTTTGCATTGTATTATGTCTTCACTCTTTTCTGTTTTGCATGCTTGCTTTTATTACTTCATATGTGCTTACCACTTTCGCTTTACATGATCTGCTTGGCTTTTTGCTACCAACTTGTCCCACCAGCACCTGGACTTTTCCGTGTCAGAGCTTCAGTTGCAGTTATGTTTAGACTGGGACCAGCATGATTGGCCCTTCATGCCCTCTATAAAATCTGTGTCAGAGCGTTATCTGGTATGTCCAATGCACAATATGACTGTAATCATAGTTCTGGATAAAGATGCATAGTTAGATGTATATATCATAGCTCTTTAGTGCAAAGCTGATGGAGAAAGTGTGGCTTTCCCTCTTTGCAAAGATCATATAATGTTTGATAAATCTGTCTATTCACTGAATTTTCTGTTGGCCATTATTTCATTGTAAGCTAGAGAATTTACCTATTAATCTGAAGTATGTACTAATCATGAGTATTCTGTCAGTGCCTGTACAGGACTTTCTCTTTATCACTTAGTCACAGTTAGCTGTGTCCCAACCAATCTGTGATCACCTGTCTCTCAAAACATTTGTCAAATTATTCTTATCTCTGAGGCGAAAACAATGGCAACTCCTTGATGGCAGTAACAGGAGCAGAAAAGTTCTTTCAAGTATAGTGAGTTCAGGAAATTATTTTGCTCAAAATTGAGGATGGTTCAGAGCTGAGAGCTGCTAGCAGCATTTTGTAGCTGCTTCCTGAAAGACTGTGAGGGTGGGTAAGAAACAAGAGATCTGCAGGAATG